GATGCAGGGCTTTAGCTGCTGGTTATTATTATACCTTCCATCTATTTCGTATTTCTTATATTGCTGCTATTTTATTATGATTCTATTGATGATACTAATATATCGTCTCTTGTTGCTTTCTTGAGCCAAGGGTCTCCTGGAAACAGCCTCTCTGCCCCTCGGGGTAGGGGTAAGGTCTGCGTACATATTACCCTCCTCAGACCCCACTTGTGGGATTATACTGGGTCATTGTTGTTGTTGTTGTTGTTGTATATGTTTTCAATGAATTTCAACTATACGCATTGAAAAAGTTCCTTTTTTGCTTATATATATTTGGAATATTGTATTTTTTTTCTTATTTCATTACCTTATTTGCTACCCCATCCATTAAATTTCCTTTCTATCTTGCATCTAATGTTGCTAATCACTCTTAAAAATATGGAAGGTGATTTTTGCATGTGATTCTTTGAGAGAAAGAACCTTATTTATTTGATTTTTCAAGTTTTATATGTGCTTGGCTAGTTTTTATAAGTCTATAATTATGGCTAGAGCTTGGTAAGTTGAGACTTATTTGGGACATTTGTGTAAGTTTTCCTTTGTAAAAACCCATTATACATTAAAAATAACAGAATAGCACTCTTGTTCTTTTATATTCATTTTTACCTACTTCTTCATCCTTTTCATCTTTCTTGGTGATCTTAAAAGATATCGCTAAAATGGGGTATTTGCATTTTTACTCAATTTTGGGGTTACCATTGAAGTTATATCCACTTTGCACAAAAATTTGCAAGTCTATCCATTTTAGAATCAATTTCAGATTTTTCTGGTATGAAGTTGAAGAAAAAAATTTAGTTCGAAGTGTAATGCACTTAAGTCTAATTAAGTCTAAAGAACAAAAATTGCACTTAACAACAAATAAGCCTGAAGTGCAATAAATATTTTTATCCACTTAAGGTCAAATAGGTATCAAATGAAAAAATTACACTTAAGTTCAAATAGGTCTAAAGTGCAACCAATGTTTCATGCACTTAAGGCCAAATAAGTCTAAAGTACAAATTGCTCAAAAAGAAAAAATTGTTCTTCAAATTTCAACAATCCAATACACGATTCAACACTTAAATCTACTCCAAATGATCTCAAATTTGAAACATGACCTCCAAATATCATAAAGAACAAACTCCAATTATCAATTTGTCAAAAAACAACAATCTAATAAACCCATTTTGCAATTAAGAAGAAGAAAACCTAAGCAGTAGCAAAGAAAGAAGCGCCACAACTAGGGGTGGGCGTCGGTCGGTTCGGTTCGGTTATGAATATTATCGGTTACCGGTTTACAAATTTAATAAACCGATAAGATATCGGTTATCGGATATCGGTTAATCGGCTATCGATCATTATCGGTTCGGTAATCGGTTTACCCTACAAGATAACACAATCTAGAGTTAAGCAATAAAGAGAAGACAATTCACTGGAGTTAAGCAAAAAAAGAGAAGAATTCACATATAATATACCACTCATTTATGCGTTTTGTCCAGTGGCCACAACTGGAATAGTACTAATTCTTCAGCAATAGTTGTCCAACTACATTAATAATAATACAAAGTGGTAGCAATTTTACCTTAAAATTAACAAGTCCAAACATATAGTACTAACAGTTTATATTCAAGTTAACAAGACAACAACTGCTCAATCCTTATAGGCTTCACCAAAAAATCAGTGGATAAATACTTATCAACCTGGAACAATTCCCACAAAATATTCCAAGGCATTAGTTGTCTCCTCCGATATGATAACAATAATAGTTGATTTAGAATTTTTATTTCACACAATACTTTCACTTCCACAAGCGTTGAAGCCCTCAAACAGTCCAATATAATATGGATGTTGTTTGTCAAATGTCTAACCTAAAAAAAAGGAACCATAGAGCAATCCTTATATTAAGATGAATTTTGTTATAGAAATTAAAATCCTAATGTATAAGACTAAAGACTAACGCTAGGAGTAACTAGTAAGGTCTATGAAGAATGAAGATGAAGCAACTGAAGAGTGCGGCTGAGAAAGAATAGGAGAGAATAAACTGAAGCCCTAGCTTATGTATATACTTAAGGGTAAAGTTGTAATTTTATTAATTCTTATTGGGTTATCGGTTAACCGATTAACAAAATTGGCAAACCGAGGCCCGAACCGATAACCCAATAGTGAAAAACTTCTAAACAGTTACTGAATCGTTAACCCAATAACCCGATACCGATAACCCAATAAATAATTAATGGTTCGGGTTATTGGTTTTACCCGATATATGCCCAGCCCTAGCCACAACAGCTCACTATCATAAAAAATAAACCCCAATTATCAATTTGTCAAAACAACAACAAATATAACAAACCAACTTTGCAATTAATAAAGGAGTAGAAAAGAAAGGAGCGCCACAACAGCTCACTACTATAAAATACCATAAACTATCTTAAAACCTGCTCACAAATATGAAATGCCATGTAAACTCATCGTCACATTTGTTTTCACAATGCCTAAAAAGAAGAAGAAAAAGAAGGAAAATGTTTGAAGTTGTCTGTACTTGTTAAGTATATTTTTTTAAAAAGTTGATACAAATTAAATGAGGTGACGAACTAGGGGCGCCCCGTGAAATTTTTACCGTTAAAATCAGGAGAAATTTGATCAGCTTATTTGATAATAATCAGTTAATCACTTTTGTAAATAAGAAAAAGGGGGTTGCTTTTGTAACATACAGCATTGCGTTTTACGGAGCCCTTCCTCCAAAGGCAAAAACAAGACATTATGAATTCGCCATGCTACACAGACTGGAGCTCTCAATGTTGAAATAGTAACTCAAAAGATTTTACAAGCAAAGATTAGTTGTTAATGGAGAGAATAATTGCACTCAAAGAATTGGCACCTACTTGACTATCAACTTCACATAACTGAGCATTTCTACGATTAGGATTTAGGACTGCAATAGAGCAATTTTAGACAAAAAGAAAATATTATTTGCATTCCTACTTTGCCCTCACAAAAAATCTATAAAATAAGAAAAGGACGGTGCAAATCTCAAACGACATAAAAGAGGGATGCAAATGCAATTGACCCAAAAAAAAAATGATCCTCAACAAGGATTTCCTTTGGAAGATTCAAGTGTATAAGTACGCTTTTATTTGCAAGAAACAAGAAATACATTATATGAAAAGGAAACCACTTCAAGCAGTCAAAATAAAGAGGATGTTCATCTTCAGCTAAAACCACAACAGGGTTAATAACTAAAACAGGCTTCCACGCAATCAGAAGTTGAGAGGTTCCTTCAAGAGTCTTTCCATCTGGCGTGCCCTAGTCCTTATCGACATGTCAAAAACTTTCTGCCCAAATTCAATCACAAGCCCACCAAGAATGCTAGGATCAATCTGTACAAGAATGGAAATAACATCATAAGCAGATGCAATCTTTATTGTTAAGAATTTACCAAATAATTATCAGTATCATAATGTACCTTCTGTTCAATGTTCACCTTCTTCCCTTTTCCCATCACGTCTTGCAATGTCTCCTTCAATTCTTTCTCCTCTTCGGGAGGAAGAGGCTGGGTAAAGAAAACAAAAGATACAATAATCAGATATTTAAATACGAGAAAATAACAAACTATGACAACCAGATAAAGTAACATATACATCCTACTGTCCAAATTAAAATCTCGTGTATCATACAGCAGTTAACCACCCAATCCCTCAGGGTGCAAGAGAGACTGGCAAGCATGAAAAAATTCAACTCAAAGTATCAAGCATTACATTACTGAAAATAATGAAGGGTCCCCACTGATAATGATTATACACATTGAAATATTAGAATAGAACTACCCATGGTACTAATTACATTGGATGTCATTTTGTAGTCACATTAAAAGTGCAGATGTAATGACTTTTAAAGCAAACTGCTAAGTAAGAAAAACTGTAACGACACTATCTTTCTGCAGTAGAAAAGAGTTGCTTCATAACGATCTTCCAAGAGTCGCCATAAGCAGTTTATAAGCAAACTTCTTGCTTTCATCCTCCTAATTTGAGTTTCAATTACTCTTCAAAGAACGATATAATAAATACCATGTCGAAAACAAAGTTCATAGCCTGGCCAAAGTTTATACGAAGACCGAAAGATGAGGATCCAAATTCGAAATCAAACTTGTAGTTCAAAATAGGTGAACTTACAATAACAGTTGTTACAGTGGCTTTAAGCTCCCCCTTGTGTGCCATGGTTAACTCTGCAAACCTTTTTGCTATGGCATCAATATGTTTCAGCCTCCCATTTTCGGCCAAAACAACTAGAAATGCACAGGTGAAAGAGAACGTGTCAGACAAATATAAAGTGAACATAAACGGAAAGAAAATACTACCTGAGCAGATTAATAAAGCTGAAATACACGTGCTTAGATACCACATGACAATAAGAAAACAAAGAGATGAACGATGAAATTAGTGGTTGTTAAGCTCTGATCTTTAAATCAAACATAGAAACCAATGCAGAAAAGGCAACAGTAAGCCAAAGTTCTGCCAAAATGAAATATAACTTAGCAGCTTATGCTGCCAACGTGATAAGTGATAACGAGGAAGAACTATTCCTGAAGCAATGAAACAATAGGAAAAAAGTGGAAATTCCCATGTCACTAGAAACGATAAAATGACAAACAGATACCAGAATAAAAGAAAAGTTCAAAATAATTGTATTTGCAGTATTGGCTTGAGGAAAGCATGATATAGACAAGGGTTAATACAAATAAGTTGTAAGGTTTGCAAATTAGCTTAGGGGAAGGGATGCTGAATGATGATGACCACAACTTTACCACATTAGTTGAAATGGTCAAGGTCAAGACTTGAGTTGACATTATTGTTTGGTTACCTCATACGTGTTTTTGTACAACTAAAGAAAACTAAAATAAGTATAATAAAATACCCACATGCAGCTTAGCATTCAGGGAATAAAACAAGGATTGAGAATGCATATGGTTATACCACTATAGCAAAAAAAAATATTGCCATAAAGATCATTCTACCATAAACATATATATATAGAGAGAGAGAGGGCCAGTTGTAGTTCAATGTGAAATTAATCTTCTAAATTGTAAAAATGAATCCTACTAAATAAAATTAAAAGGAATGTATCTTCTGGATTGTCTTGTTTAGTCAAGCATTAATCTGAAGGGGTACAATGTTGAAGGGGTGAAACTACAATGCGAATTTCCTGAAGATATACACCAAACTAATCACAACTCACGTACTCCCTTCCCCCCAATGGAGTAAAAGAGAACACCTGAACTGATAACAGAGGAAACCTCAGCTTCCAGTATGAAGATGACCATGCAGCTAGGAAAATAAATACCAACAAATAGCGACATTGAAGAAGAATTTATAATTTGCTAGTAAGATTATCATCGATTAAAGGAACTTGCATCCTCTAAAACAGAATATAGACACCAAATTGATGCGAATCTTTGAGTTAACAAAACAACCAATCTACCAGGATCAAAATCTTGAAGCAGAATCTAATTTCAAAAAATGAGAATCTGTTTATTTATGGCATCTCTATTTGTTATTTAAACCAACAAATCTCAAGTTTAAAAAATGGAATAGTAGTATTTTCTTTTAGAAATAACAATATAATTGTATCATACCCAAGAAGTTCCTCGTGAGATCTCCAAATTTAGCCTGTGCACAGATGTCACTTATGGCCTTCACTCTTGTATCCGTAGGCACAGAGAGATCCTTCATAAACTGAGAAAATTTAGGACTTTTCTTTGAAGCCTCAATAAGGTCCAAAATCTCAGACTCAACCTTCTCCAATGCATTAGCTTTTACAGCTGAGATGTACAAAGCCGAGGCGTAATTTCCAGAAACCCCATACATCGTCACAGGAACCTAAAACACCATAGAGAAGCAAAAGACGGTAATAGATGTAAGACTCGCATTCCTTGATTTGGTAAGAGTATCCCTTTCTTGGCATCTTTTAGGTTGAAGACAATATGAAAAAAAGGACATGATGTAATTGCTTAAAGTGACAAAGATTGATACATATTTCGAATTTAAACTTAAATTCACACACAGGAAAAGAGATGAGCAATCAAGACACATTTGAGATATCATGAGGCAAAATCTAACAAAAGGACTTTCGAGATATCATTTGAGATATCATGAGACACATTTTGAGATATCATGAGGGATTCAACTTGAAACTTCAGAACATTCACCACTCTCAAGTAAGAAAAACTATCTCAGAAACAGATATTACACACACAAATACAACAACAATCTCATACGATTTACTAACCTTAACTTTTTGCTCTTTGGCTGGGGCAGTAGCATAATTCCTTGACAACTGCACAAAAAATGACAAACATATATTAAAAAAATGAACATAACATGCCATTTTACCAGATTTCAACATGGACATTTTTAACAGTCCTGTGAAAAGAAAAGCGATTCAGCAAAAACTTCAAATGGGATGTGCTTAAGCACTGTGCACATCCAAAGATTTAGTTCGCGTGTAAATAGAACAGAACTACAAACGGTTCCAACAGGATATTCAATAAGAGAATCACACCAAAATAGTGGACCCTAAGCTGCAACAATACCATCTATTTCCTTCGATTTCATTTTTAATTTTAAAAGAACGAAACGGTTTGTTGTGACTTCATATATATAACCCAATAACAACATTCAGCCATTTCACATAAATAAAAATATATAATTTCAAGCCAAGAATCATTTCAAGAATCTAAAATCAAAATATAGATCAAAGCAAAATCCAACAATCTACAAACAAATCAGCAATATCGAAGACCAAAATTAGGTCTCATATCTGATAACAATGAATACCTCAGGATTGGAGAGGAGGGAGGGATAAAAAGTCGATCTTGAATCGGAGCAAAGGGCTTTGCGGAGGAGAGGGACCGTGGATCTGACTCGCCCTGCCATTGCCATCGCAAGAGAATTTTTATCTTCGAATCCGGTTTGTTTTCACCAGAGATTAATAGGCTTTGTACTGTTGAAAATGGCGGAGTGAGGGTTAGGGGTAGAGAGTCTCGAGGAGGCTGTGATTTTACTCGCTTAACATTTCACAACCTATAACCTAAAAGGGCATAGAATTTCTATGCTACCACTAGCATTCAGTGACACGTGTACCCTTTTTTCTCTTTTTTCCGGTTGTAATCCTTATTTTACTTTCACATAGAGGAAATGTGGATGTTGTTCTAATTTGAGAAATATATAGTATTCCATCAATTTTAATTTAGATAAAAATTTTGTAAGGCAATAATATTTACGTGACTATATAAGCTTTTCATTAAAGGTAAAGTGAATAGAATAAAATATTTAAAATTAAATTATTTTTAAATATAAAAATATATTATTTTTTTAATAGACTAATAAGAAAATTGTGTCATTTTAATTGAAACAGAGTGACTATTTCTTTGGGAAAATCACATTTAAAAGATTAAGTCTATATTTACTTCAATCTTGTTCAAAGGATTCAAGCCGTCCGAACGAGCATCAATAGCATCAAATTGTAGATTAACATGTAACTTATAGTCATTAGTCAACAAGTTCATTACAAATACTCCACGTGATCAAGACGACCAAGGGGCATAAATCTCATGGGCTAATGCACGTTAAATGAAACCGTTATGAGTGCATCTTTGGCCTTGAATCAATTATGCATATTTTTAAAGTTTAAAAATTATAACTCATATTTAAATTTGCCTACCCATTTTAAAAAGTATTTAAAAATAGCTCTTAACAAGAATGATAGTTTGGTCGCACAATAAAATAAATCAGACGGTAAACTCTGAAATGAACCAATTATTAGATGCCTCTTTTAAAGATTTCGCAAGCTTTTTTGGTTTAATGTAGACTTTTCAAAGCTTTAAACCTATTACCCTAGGTTTTTAACTGCTAGTCGTTTATGCTCAACACGAGTAAAAGTCGACCTAAGGATTAAAGTTAGTCCCTCCGGTCTATAATAAGTGACCAATTTATCTTGGGCACACCCATTAAGGAAATATTAAATTCCAGACAAAAATAATTAATGTGACTTAATTAGCCTTGCAACATAATTTAATTTGAGGAGTAAAAGACTTTTTAGGGTAATTTTAAAAAAAAACAAATTGATTTTTTTTTATTTATTTTGATAGCCTCGGCAAACGGCTTTCCTATAGCGGATATCATGTTCTGGAAGTAGTCCGCCTCTTTGGCATGTTGAAAGACCGTGATCATTTCAATTTCATTCATTGGAGGCTTTACCCTGGCAGCTTGCTCACGCCATTTGATAGTATATTCACGGAAGCTTTCTATGATTTCCTTTTTCAAATTGGACAAAGAGTTTCTATTGGGAGCGATGTCCACATTATACTGGAACTGGCGAACAAAATCTCGAGTCATATTGTCCCACATGTGCCAATGGGTAATTTCTTGATCCGTATACCACTCAGAAGCAATTCCGGTGAGGCTTTCCCCAAAATAGGCCATTAGCAGCTCCTCTTTTCCACCAGCACCCCTCAACGGGTTACAGTATCGTTTCAGATGAGCGACCGGGTCTCCATGCTCGTCGTACTTTTCAAATTTTGGCATCTTGAAGCCAGCTGGCACGTGGACATGGGGAAACATACAGAGGTCAGAGTATGAGACACTCTTTTGGCCACTCAGACCTTACATGTTTTTCAGGCTTTGTTCCAGGCTCTTCATCTTCCGAGCCATTTCCTCATGCTCAGAATTTTTAACAACCTTTTCTTGTTCCATCGAGAGATCATATTGCGGAGGTTGAGTGAAAGAGTACGGGGTCACATATGTTATTTCTGGTTGAAGCTGTGGGCCCTGAAAGATGAACATTGGAGGCGGTGCCCTTCAAGCCCGTGCCTGGGAGCGAACCAGAGAAGGCATGCCAGGATCATTGGAGGGACGCCCACACGGGATGAGCGGGTTGGGCACAGGGGTGTTGGTAATCTCGCCTGACCTGGGGATCAACCCAGGGAACCCAGGGATTGCATTTGGCGGTTCCCTACCATTAGACCAGGTGTCCCACATTTCCAATATGCAGAGACGCAACATCTTATTCTTTTCAGCAGCTGCTAATTCTAGATGTAGAATAGCCGATGTCGGGCTATCCTCAAGACCGATGATTGGTAGATTGCTTGTGAAGACCATCTTTGCCTTTGGATCTTGTGAAGGAGCGGAGGCTCGACTACCAACAAAACCAACCACTAAAAACCTAGCTAATTTGCACACCCAACAATCTTGTTAGTTTTTGAGACGCTTAACAAATAGGAAATTGCACGTTTGGATGCAATGCACCTAAACAGTTAAATGTTTCTACCATGTGTTTGAATGGTTGCATGTTTCATCCCGGCCCTAACTAACTCTCTTTTTCACTCAATATCTATTTTCTTTTATTTCTGCTTCTTTTTAATCACTTTTGATTTTTTTATTTTTTTATTTTTTCATTTTTGCCGCTTCTTTTATTTTTTGGCAGTCTTTTTTCTTTTTTGTTTTTGTCACTCTTTTATTTCCCCTTTTACCCAATTTTCTTTCTCTTTTTTTAGTTATTTTTCACTCAATCAATTCTATGGCTATGATCGAATCTGATGGGGATTGCCTACGTATCATGACGCCGCATGAATCAGATCTTGCGTAGTTCGGGAAGATCGAGAATAGAGTAAATAAACTAACTCTTTTTTTGTTTACTTTTTTAAAACTCAGACCAAGAAAACCATAAGAAAAAGAAGAACATTTTTTTTGAATTTTTTTTGTTGTTTTTTTGTTTGGAATTTTCGAGAGAAATGCTTTAAAAGAAGAAAGGAAATATTTTTTTGAATTTTTTATTTTGATTTTATTTTTATTTTTTGAAATAAAGACTTCTAAAAATTCCTTTTCTTTGATTTGAACTTTAGGAATTTCAAAAGTAAAATGAAGATATTTTTGTTTGAATTTTCATTGTTTGAACTTTAGAAATATTTCTTTGTTTGAACTTTAGAAATAAAGAATTTTTTCTTGATTATATAAATGGACACTTATTTTGGACCAAAATAAAAAGGTAAAATTGGCCACTTATTATGGACCGGAAGAAGTAGAAACAAACAACACAATAAAACAATATGGGAACGCAAAACGGTAAAAAGGGAGGCAAGCTTTTTTCAACCAAAAACTATAGTACGCTTTTGCTTAATTTTAAAGTTTTACTTGTGACATTCAAATTATGCTCAACCAATGAGTGATTACAATGAATTCAAGGAGCAATTCAAAGGAGGACCACTGTGTATATGTGTAACGACCTGATCGGTCGTTTTGAGCTTTAGCGCATCGTTCAGCAGTTTGAGGCCATGAGCAGCTTCACTTCAGGTATTATGGCTTGTGCGCACAGTCGCAATTGAATTCCGGGAAGTTCGAAGTTGATTTGGAAAGAGAATTCTTATTTCGGAAGCTTTAAGTCGAAAGAATTGACTAAGGTTAGATTTTTGAGTAAATGACCTCAAAATCGGGATTCGAAGGTTCCAGCAGATTCGTATGATGATTTCGAACTTGGGCGTATATCCGGACTGGGTTTTGGAAGAACCGGGAACGTTTCGGCGCCTATTGTGGAAGTTAGCATTTTTGGAAGAACCTCATAAGTTTGGATTGAAGTTCATTTCAGGGTTATCAATGTCTGTTTGAGATTGTGAGTCTGGGAATAGTTCCGTATGGTGATTCTGGAATTGGGAGCGCGATCGGAAGTGAATTCGGAGGTCCGTAGGTCATTTTGGAGTCATTTGGCTAAAGTTAGAAATTTGAAGGCTTTTGAAAAGTTTGACCGGAAGTGGACTTTTGATATCAAGGTTGGATTTCTATTCCGAAAGTTGGAGTAGGTTCGTAATGTCGAATATGACTTGTGTGCAAAATTTGAGGTCAATCGTACATGATTTGATATGTTTTGGCATCGAATGAATAAGTTTGAAATTCTAAAGTTCATTAAGCTTGGATTGGAGGTCGATTCATGATTTTAACGCTGTTGGATATGATTTGAGGCCTCGAGCAAGTCCGTAATATGTCTTGGGACTGGTTGGTATGATTGGTTGGGAACCCAGGGTCCTCGGGTGGATTCCGGGTGGTTAACGGATCGAAAATGGAATTTTGAAAAGGGTTGAAGTTGCTGGTTGCTGGAGTAATCGCACCTACGAGACTAGGGCCGCAGGTGCGGAGCCGCAGAAGCGGCCCTCATGTCGCAGAAGCAGAAATAGACAGCTAGGCTGGGACTGCAGATGCAATTGTTTTGCCGCAGATGCGGGACCGCATCTGCGGAGGAGAGGGCGCAGAAGCGGAATGGGCTGGGAGCTCTAGACCGCTGAAGCGGCGTTTGGTTCGCACCTGCGAGACCGCAGGTGTGGAAACGCTGGAGGTAGTGAGGTTCTTTTAAATCGGGGGTTGGGTTCATTTCAACCTCATTTCTTCCATTGGAGCCGATTTTGGAGCAACTTTGAGGTGCCATGTTCACCACCAAGCATGAGGTAAGTAATTTATGCTAGTTTTTAGTTAAATACATGATTATATACGGATTTGGACATGGAAATTGGTAGAAACTTGGGGTTTGAGGGGAAACCTAGAAAATTAATATTCTTTGAATTTGACCACGATTTTGGGTATGAAATTAGAAGAAAATCATATATTTGAGTTCGTGCGTTCATGAGTAAACTTTATCTTCGAAATTTTTTGGAATCCGGGCATGTGGGCCCAAAGGCAATTTTGTCAACTTTTCGATCGGGGTTAGGAATTGTTATAAATTGGACTGTAATGAGTAATTGAACATATATTAATGGATTTGCATAATTATTGGCTAGTTTTGGAGCATTGTGCATTGATTCGAGTTTTTGGAAGAGCGTGGAATGTCGGTTTTGGGTCTTCGAAGCGAGGTGAGTCTCCTTTCTAACCTTGTAAGAGGGAATTGTCCCCATAGGTGAGTTAATTAGTTTTGTGCTCCTATTTGTGGGGGCTACGTACGCACGAGGTGACGAGGGTCCGTGCGTAGCTATTATTATGCTATTGTCCGGGTAGTCTAGGCCCCAAAAACATGCTATACTTGAAAATATTTGT